AGTCTAGTCTTAGACAAAATTCCCTCTGGACATTTGTTAGGGAAAAAATCTGTAAAATTGATTACTTCATCACATACAACAATCACAGTGATATTATAGTGCAGTGCAGGTTACTTGGCATAACTTTTAAGTATTTGCAAACAGCTCAACATTTTGTGTCTTCATAAAGATGTGGTTTTACTGTAACAATTAACAGTTTAGTGGGGTCTGCCGTAATAACTGCTACGTAGTAAGGGTGCTTCTCGCCATAGTTTTTAATGCGGAAGGTAAACATGTGCAACTACCACCTTGGTTAGGGTCAATCTGAGGGTGCTGGCTGAATAGCTTAGAGCTCAGCTGTGACAAGCAGTGTGACAGCCTCCATGCTAATATTTCTGCAGGAATTTGCAGAAGGGATATAGGGCACTGATGAGATAAATCAAAGTGTGAAAGCAACTGCCATCAAATGTCACACCCAAGCAGTCAGTGACTTGGTAGGCCATTTGGACATAGGTAGGGTTACCTGTAAGCATGGCCTTTTCTTTCTGTTCCTAGAGAATAATATTATCTGAGGATAAAACCAAAGGAGCACAGATGGTTGTGATATAGACTTGATCCTCTAAACTCTTGTCACAGCAAATTATTCCATTGAGGTAAGCGGGACTGCTCCTATGAATATCTCAATTATATTCTCTAATTCTTTTATTATTGAAGTGATCAATTAAATAATGCTTTGTGTGTATCTATGAATCTTAAAAAAAACAAACAAAAAACCCCACATCATTCTGGGGACAAATGCTGGCATATTCCTGACCAGTCATTGAGACTAAATTCATTGTTTAATGTAGGTTATAAGCCTCTTGGAAGCATTACCTGTGCACTTTGTAAACCAGGAAATACAGATTCTGATTTGACCTTACTCTTTTCTTTGCTTGGGAACCACCAACCACCAACCCAGAGTCCTGTGCCTGTCCAGAGTCTAATGCGTGCCTGTCCGAAATCTAATGCTTCCCCTTGGATTTCATACAGGCGTTGAAAACTTGTGGTTGTGGAGGAAGGACAGAGTTTAAACTGTAAGCAAGAGTAATGGAAGGAACAACAATGAAAATTCAGAATCAAGCCTTATTTGTTTTCCCCTTTTCCAAATTAGTATACATATATTTCAAATGGAAATCTCACAGCCAAGGAACTGACTTGATCTCTTAACTGTATAATGTGTGTTACTCCAATGCCCAATTTTGGCACTCAGGCTTCATGTGACAACGTTAGAAAATACCTCCCTTCGCCTCATTTTTTGTCTGTTTCATCGTTAATTTAGAATTGAAGCCAAACTCTTGGATGTCCATTTTACCTGAGCAAAGATTTACAGAAAATACTGAAATCCCCGCTCTATCGTTTCGACAAAAAGCTACAGTTCTCACAATTCTTTGCATACAAGCCACACAGTTCAGCTCTGAGTTTGAACTTTCCTCAAACTTCAGCATTTGAGGTATTCTGGACTGTTATTTAGACCTTCGCATTTAGTCTACTACACCATTTTTATTTTGCAGATTCCTTTTTCCCAGGATAACCTGCAGTGTTGGAGTTGCAGCTCTCCTCCAAGTGGATGTTCAAGGTCCAGAGACATGGGTCCATCTTTAAGGCCTAACTCCTGCCGATCCTAATGGGCCTGGTAGCGGCAGATTGCTTGCACAGAAGTGCTCCTTCATATTTGAGCACTGGATTCCCTCTAATGAAAAACACATCATGAAGTCTCTGAAAGGCAAAAAAAATTCATAGCATCACTGATTTTCATTACAACTGTCACCGTGACACCATGGATTAAGCTCCTTGGATCATTTGTTATAAATAACATTTAGTTTGAATTACGGTGTTTTTTATTGAGTAACTATGAGTATTTTGTCATTATTTTCCCACAGAGCAGCTGTAAAGATTCTGCCTGAAATGTTTCTGGCCCATGTAGGTTTTTTTCCCCTTCCCCCCAAAAAAAGGTGCCAAACATGATGACCTGCAAATATTTTGCTTTCATTGGTGCTATTTACTCCAACATCCTCCTCCAGTAGGAACATATTACTTTATTAAACGCTGAAAAGAATATTGGTATTAATCCTAGATTCTCAAATACAAAAGCCATGAGGAACGAGAGATCGAACCATTTTCAAATAGCAGACCAACCTAGAGCTCCTCATGCAAGCAGACCTTATATTTCTGTTTATGAAGAAAGCAGACTTTCCCTTTGTTTTTATCTTTTTTCACAAAAACATCTTTGCCTCCGACACAGTGGAGCATTCCTTACTGCCCTTTATCTAACGAAGCCAACCCATAGAAGTTGTTTGGAGTCAATTTTCTTGAGTTCCCTCTAAATCTCAGTACACGTCCATGACAAAGCTCCATCAGGCCACGCTCAGTCACTCATCTGCTGGTGGAGAGGTATATGTGTATTGTACAAGGTTAAACAATGCATAGGCCTAGCACCATAAATTCTAATACAATAGTGACAATAAAACATAGTGCAGGCTCATTCTGACATTTGTTTCTGAAGCTGTTGTTTAATTCAGTCATAAGTGAGCTTGGTACATGTATTAATTCGAGGTTATTTTTATTTCTCATCTGCTGGCTAAAGCCCACAAACAGTAGGGTTAAGCTCTTGCTATATCGCTACAAACAAATGAACAGTCGTTACTGCCAGAAGTCTACAGTCTTACCCAGAGTCAGGGAATAATTTTTGACTGGTTCATCCAGTCAAAACTACAGATGCTACAGAACCATCTCTGTCTACAAACATTTCCCAAAGGAAAAGAGAAGTTCAGTTGCACCTAGTTTATAATAAGTCATTGTCACAGACTGTTACTTGCCTACCTTACAGAAACTGCCTGACAGGGATGAGGCACAGGTAGTCTGGCTCAGTGGTTAGGAACACAATCCCAATGTGAGGGTGAAGTAAGAGTCGGAACTGAGGTTGGGAAGCTGGGAAGAGGGCTGAGACTGGAAGTGGGGAAGAGGGAAGTGGGGAAGCGTGGATGGCATGAAAGCCTTGACCAGTCAGAAAGCAGCTGCCAGAGCTTCCCTAAATAACCTTGCTGAACTCAGTCTCAGCTGCAAGCTTACCTGTACCCATAGGCCAGCTGGGATGGATCTATTTGTCCATCTAGAGCTCAGGAGGAACTAGGGGGTACTTGGACTGACACGCAGAAGGTCTGGCACATAGACCTGGGAGAGTCCAGAGGCAAGACGTTTTCTTCCCTTCTCATTGCCATACCTTGTGTAATGGTACAGCAATAGAGATGGTGTGACACACAGATCCCTGTTCTGTCTGTCTTGCAGTAAGCAACAACTTGTTTGATGTTAGTGCTGGCCTGATTCTTTTCCTTTCGTTCAAGTTCTTCATCCTGTGAGGATGTCATTACCTGTATATCTCTAGATGTAGAAAGAACTCATGTTATCCATTCTCTTTACCATCTCTCCACAAGACCCATTCCCCTCTCTGACTCCTGCAGTCATTTTTGAAGACCACCACATCACTGGACAACCCCCCTTATGTATTTATTCTACCAGCAAATTAAGCTACCCTCCAGTTCTTGTAATTTCTCTGAATCTCTCTCTCTCCTCCTTCCCTCCTTTTCTTTGCCCTCCCTCCCTCCCATTCTGGTAGCTCCCTGATCCCACCTGTCCTGGGGGGCTCTTCTCCTCTTTCACTATTGTGTGCACACCCTTTTCCTGAGGATAGCAGAAATACAGTGAAATCAAGGCTGCTAAATGAACTCTCTCTCTCTCCCTGAATTTACATTTGTTCCCAGCTCATTCTACTAAACAGGCATATGGCATTAATCTAAACTGTCCAACACATTAGTGGGAGGGAAGTAGCACCCAGAGGATTATTACAACATTTTACCTGGCAGATGCCACCATATTTATTGATATGAAATCTCCCACCCTTCATATCAGCCACCAAAACCTCCCTCTGTGAAGTCCTCTCGAATTAGGTATAGCTCTATTAAAATATTTTGTTAAACTTCATTACGTTTTACTGTGGCCAGACTCTGCATTCTTTATTCAGGAAAAGCTATCACCAAGATCAATGGAATTTTAAAGTAATGAATGACTTGTTTATTGTATTTGGCTAATTGAACAAATTACATTTTTATGATTAATTTCTGTGGGTTTTCTACATATATAAATATGTCTGTATATTTGATTTTGATCTTCAGAAACCTCTATTTTATATAAAATATTCCTAAAGAGAATACTTAAAATCAATTAATACTGACACATCAAAATACTAAAAGGCAGGGCCAAAGTAAATAAAAGTATTACTTCAATTAACTTCCAGATAATCCTGAAATCTGTAAGAATGTCAAGCCCAAATCTGGAAAGCGTTAATAAGAAAAAACAGAAGATATCTGAAGAAAAATTATCAAAGTTTCCTTATTTGTCTTTTAAAAATAGTCTTTTGAATTGGATTTCCTACAGTTTTAATCAAATAACCAGAGCCAATATAAATACGAAGAGAAAGGGTCAAAGACGATCTAAAAACCATCCCATGGAAGGGTAAAAAGCTTTCTGTTTGGTTTTACTTTCACAGAGAAAACTACATTCAATTCACCCAAGCACTGCGTTTTCAAAAATGTTGTGGTTCTGGCTTAATTCCACACAAGAAAGAAACTTCAAAGTTCAGGATCAAGCCTCCAATATTTGTCACAATATGACACAGTTGGGTAAAATTAAGGATGGTAACCCGTTGTGATAGACAGTGGGAAGGGGGGGCGATTGCTGACCGTGGATTTCCTTTCTTTTCCTGATTGACTCATAACAAACTCAGAACACAGATGAATTTTTTTCGCTATTACCATAGTATGTCTTTCACTTTTTATTTTGGAAACAAATGAATAAAAACCTTTTGGAGTATCTGTGTATGTGTATTGGCAATAAAAATATCTGCCAATCACGTTATCCTTCAGAGGTAACTACCAAACTGGATTGTTCTTTTCTGGTGACTTGCTCTGTGCTGTTTATGTCCACAGGTCCTTATATGCACCCTCTTCCCCCGCCCCACCGGCTGACATGGGAACAGCCTGTGATAGGCACTGCTACTGGATGCTATTGTACCCAAATGGTGTCGGTATATGAGAAAAGCAAGGCCTACACAAGTAAGCATCTTTACTAAATCCATTTATATAGCTGGGGAAAATGGGCAAGCTTTTGGGTGCAGAGCCAGTGACATTTAGTGCAATTTTCTGTAGCAAGGCAAGTCAGTGGATATGCAGAAGAGACAGTTTAGGGAAGAATTAAACTTATACATGTTGCTACATCTTATAGATTAAAAGTTTTCCATTGCCATCTGTTCTTTAAAGGAAAAATTGGATTTTGGATTTTTTTTTCCACAAAAAAGTATCTGCTTTCTGTAGAAAATTATGGCTATTCATCAGAAAGCCATACATCTGTAGGCCAATTATTTCTGGCTGAAAATATTGATTTGGAGTGCTGCTACACCTTTCCAGAGGATGCCAGTTTGGTCCTTCGTTTCCACCCTCCTTGTGAGGGGCCGAGCTCCCAAATGCTGCATCTTTCCTGCCTCTCTGAGCCGAGCTCAGGCTGGGATGTTAGTTTGTGGCCAGGCAGTGGGAGCACATCACAGCAATGCTGCATGTAAAGCTGAATTTGAATGGGGGCTGATTTCTCTCTCCTCATGCCTGTTGCCTGCTAGACTGAGGCCCGGGGGGAAGTGAACGCAGGTGGCGAGGCTGGTAGGGCAGCACGGGCCTAAGCATGGGCCCTGGCATGCAGTTGGTACAATGCCAAATCTAATACAGCACCAAAGAGAATGGCAGTCTTTCAAAGCACCCAAATTTGCATGGCCACAGGGGGATTTCTGACTAGGGGTTTTCAGATGGAGCCATTATTTCACTACTGTAGAAATCAAAAAACAAAAAAAAACACCCTTCAGCTTTTCCAATTAAAATAATAATAATAATAATAATAGGGTGTGGAAGGAAATGGGCCTGACTCTGCTCCATTAAAGTCAAAGAGGAATTCTTAGGTGTGAAGTTATGTAAAACTGGAGTTTGGTGATATATGAATTTTTGGTCACTTGTTTTATCTAAATAAATAAATATATATATATATTTTGTATATATATATATATCAGAATTATATTACTAGTTTGGTCAAATCTGAACTGAGGTTTTTTTGTTTATTTTTAGCAACAAAAAAAATCAATTTTTGTTCAACCCAAAATATTTACTTCAGCTTCAAGGGAATGATTTCATTGTTGGTCTTGTGCTGTTTCACACCTTTCAAAGCTTTTTTCTTTCTAAGTTTAGGCCAATTTTAAAATGAACAGTTAAAAAGCTTTGTTTTGAGGTGGAAGTGTTTTGGCAGTTCCAGAACAAAACGTTCCCTTTTGAAACGACTAAAATGAAGTGTTTTGACATTTTAATTTTTTTCTTCTGCATTATTTCATCTGTGACTATTTGCTCAATTCCATTGAAATTCAAGAGAGTCTCACTCCCTGTAAAATTCATTTGTATGGCATATTTGTTATTTGTCAGAAAGTAGTGATTCACTTAGCTCTGCATCAGTTCAACCTTAAATATTGGGAGAAAACACTTAATAGGGAATTGATTGTATACAGCTATGTTTCTCACTCATCTTATAATTTGTACCACAATGGAGAGCATCCAGGGGCAGGGAGCTGTTGCAGGAAGGAGGCAGCCTTCACTGCTCCAGCAGAAAGGAGAGCCAGAAGACCCTGCACCTTCAGCCAGCACTGCTTCCTCCTCACCCTCAAACAGGCCAGTCTTGCTCCTCCTCAAGTATCAGTTTAAGTCTTATACCTCACATCAGCTTTTCTGTAGCCTTCTGTTAGGCTCCACAAGGGTCACACTCTGGCCCTCCCACTGCTGCTCAAATCACTGCTCCTGCCCATGACATTTCCTCAGACCTCTTTGAGGAAAAAGCTCCAGCCAGACCTGTCCTTCCAGCGGATGCAAAAATCCTTTTCCCTAGCTGTGTCTGAGCTGTCTTCTCCTCTACCTCAGCTGTGGAGGTGTTGCTGAAGGGGCTAACTCCCCTTTATAAGAAGCCTCACTAGAAAGATGTTTATCACAATGTGTAAAATGGGAATGTATCAGAAAGGTGCAAAGTGAGGGCATGTCTAAATCCCTTAAAGGACTAACTGTTGAGCGAGGCTGGGTACCAAGTGCTTCAGATGTGCGAGACCTAGACTGCCCCAGTGAAATTCCACACTCACATGTACCATTGCTGTTTCCAGCTGTAATCATTAAGCTGAGATAATAGAGTCATTATTTTCCCCAATTGCACCTTTGACTTCAAAAAAAAAATCTGTTTTTTCATGACTGCTATCTATGAACATCCAAAGAGTCTAGCTGGCCTTGCAGGAATAGTTGTAAATTATGAATTTGTAGTCTGAGAACATTATCCTGCAAAAAGGTAGTTTTGAGGTGCAGCCTTGGGAATTTTCTTAGTGCTGCTTACATAAACTAACCAAGAAAAGGACCTCAGGGGAAGCAAAAAGGCGCCAAGTGATACCAGTGAGACCCAAACAATAATAAAGTTTCCTGGACAGGGAAACTGCCTCTGAGTACCTCAGCCTCATCTCTGAAGATATAGTCTTCTTTTAGGAGGTATGAAATGCAAATTCAAGTGTCTTCAGGCAGGAAGGAAACTTGAAGAGTACTCTGTCTATAGAGCTAGTAGATAAAGGAAGAATTTGTGCTGTTAAATATTAGCATATGTGGTCATTCCACCTATAATTTATTACCTTCCTTCTTTCTTTTCTTTTTTCCATTAATGAAGATTGGGTTTAGCATACTCAACTAGTTTAAATATTTCTAAAAGCCATTCACCTGCATTAGAATTAAACAGCTGGCATACCAACATTTTTGTCTTTTCAGACTGTTCAGCTTCACCGGGGCTATTCACAGCTTGCACTTCACTAAGGTCATTGGTATCGCTATTACACATTTCCTGTATTACATGAGGATCATGTTCCAGTAGTTAACAAGTCAACATATATTCCCAGGGGTGGGAGAAGAACTAGGTAGATGAGTGCTTTCCACGTCTGCTTTATTTCTGGAATTTTACTGCCTTCATCCATGTGAGAAATAATTGTGATCAAAAATAGGTTTGGACTGCAGTACCCCAAATCACATAGAAATGCTTTAGCAGTCTGCACTCTCGATTTTCCAATCCACCTAGGCCAAAATATGATGGAACCTCAACTGCTGGCCACTGCTCAGTGTCTGGGCACTGAATAGTCTCGGGGCCAAAAGTTGCACTACTGTAATTGGGAATAGCTCCAATGAAATCATTCTCCACGTTTATTCTCTCGCAATTCAAAGCCAGATTTGGCCCACTATGTGAATTAATTCAAACTGAACATCAAGGAGCAGATTCTGCTCAGAGTTACACCAGTGTAAATGGGAATTAAATGTATTGTAGCTAATTGGGCTCAATACTCATATGTCTCACCCTCATATAACTGCTCTGACCTCAGTGCAATCGATCCTAATTTATGCCACTGTAACTGAGATTGCAGTGTGCATTGTTTAAATTCTGTTGGGTGCGTCTCCTTCCAGGATGGAAACTATTTGCAAATTATAACAGCCTCTTTCCTAATATTGAGGCTTGCCATATCTGAAATTTTTGATGGGGCGGGGGGGCGGGGGAGAAGGATATAAAGCCAACTTTGTGCTTAGTGCTACCTTGTATACTCCAAATCCTGCTTTGTCCTGCTAATTTCTCAGTGCCTAATTAGGAGACTAGAGGGCCCTTACCCTCTCGTCTTACTACACAGAATGTACCTGCTATGTGGTCACCTCTCAAAGAGGCAAGGGGAAGCTTTAGAAACTTCAAAATGATAAGATTCTTCTCAGGCCTTTCTTCATATGTGGGCTTTCCTGCTAATTGATTTTTCTTGTCTCTACAGCTTCTGTTTTTCCCAGCTTTACATATTAGGTTTCTGAAGCATATGATGAATGGGATGCTCTGCAGTTGAAAGAGCCCAAGTCTCAAATGGCTCACTCAGCGTTCCCATAGTGAACTGACCGGCTGTGGGTTGCAGCTCTCTGAACAAGGGGAATGGTTGCTTTTCCCTGAGAGGAACACTAAGTCCTAAACGCAACATAACAAAGGCTTCACCCTGCGAGATATAATATACATCTCTCTCTCTCTCTGTATGTATTTTATTATTTTTTATTTATTTATTTGTTTTTGAGTAAAGAGCAGCTCTGTCCTCCTTTGCTCACGCTGGAAATACTCAGTTTGCCAACCTGACTTTTTCCCCTGTTAGCAATGGAAGTTGGCCATGAGTCCCAGCACGCCATAAGAAATCGAGCTGTGACCACATTAAGCATGAATGGCAGGGCAAGGTTATAGCATGTAACACTATGCTGTGGTGACCTGTTACAGAATTAGAGGCTCTGAGGTGTGAGGCTGGATCAGATAACTTTATTGCAAGTAAAGCACAAAGCTAAGCTCAAAGCTGCCTTGGCTGTTTACTCCTTCAGGTGGCGTTTAGTGAGCATTTCTTACTTTGAAAACATGTTTTGAAAACTTCAGCTGCAGGGCTTTTAGCCAGAATCAAACTGCAACGTTCCTTAGTTTTACCTACAAGTACACCCATGGCATATTCCAGTATACTCTACAAACAATGATTTGAAAAGCTTTTCTAAAGCCTCCTGTACGAAGTGACTACTGTAGACCAGCTGTCAAAGGCAGAGGTGTTCAGCTGCAGTGAAGTGAAACGCTGCATTACTCAACCAGGAGCGGCAGTAGGTTGGTAGATCTTTCTTGTGATCAACTTTAGAGTTGTTCTAGGAAGTTAGGCACTCTCTTAAAGAGAAGAAAATCTGAGATACAAGTAAGCTCCTTACTCCACCTATGAGCTTTCTTCCCCAAATCTGCACTTTCTGTCTTGAATTATTGACTTAGAAGTGGATGGGGAAAAAAAAAATCTGATTTTGAGGCTTTCTTATTTATTTGTCTGTTCTTTGCTTTTATTTTTATCTCACTCTTTAGACCTACTGGCCCAAGAAACAGATTAGTTAATAGTTAATTTAATGTAGCCCTGAAGGGAATTTGGCTCAGTGCTGTAAGGCAGGGTGGGGAAGAGGCTGATCTTAAAATAGATACAAGACACACTATGTCGGTCATTCTCCAGGATCACATTAAAGCATGATGTGAACTTTGCTTTGTGTAGTGGCATATTTGGAGGGCACACTGCCCCTTTCCCCAGTTGAAACTGGAAAGAAAAAGAAACTTTCAAGATAACCAGAACCTGGACTACAAAAGCACTGCAGTTTCCCACCCTTTTACAGTGGCAAATAGGTGCTTTGCCTCAGTTTAAGAGCACACATCTCTGTGTGGTGTCACTTGTGATTTTTCTCACAGTAAGGAGAGGACAATCCAAGTTTCTCATACTGCAGTCAGTTGGGAAATATTTCAAATTTTGCTGAAGTCATCATTAAGCTAATGGAAAGATACCTATTGATATCTCTAAGTTTTGGCTTAGCAATTGATGGGTCTAAATTAGGATTTAGGTGTTTAAAAGGTTAGTACTACAACCTTGAGTTGATAATACAATCCAGCACCCTACACTGGGTCTGTATAAACCATACACTGGGCACAGGGAGAAGTAGATGCCTTAGTATCAGATCAACGACAGCAGCACATGGAACAGCGATGTGCCCCACGCCAGCATGTTCTCTGGAGAGCTTTGTGTGGTCCCAGCAGGACAGAGAGCTGTGACACCAGTTCTTCCTAGCGTGCAGTACTGGCCGCCATTTCTGGCAAGTGCTTCTAGATTAGCAGGATTGTGGAGCACTTTCTGCAGCCTAGAAAGATAAAGCTGCTGAGGACACTGAGAGGCCATTTAGGGCTGCCCCAAAATGGGCTCAGCCACATCTATATCGTTTCTAATTGAGGGTCAGCCAGCCTGTTCTTAAAGACCTCCATGATGGAGCATCTCCAAAGCTTCCTGAAGAACAAACTGTGGCTGTGCTGGTTCATAGCATTAGAAAGCTTATCTTATTGTCTGGTCTGAGTCTTTCTTGTTGTGAATTATGCTTCTGTTAGTTCTCACCTTATTTGCTAAGCACATGGAGATGGGATTCATTTCTTCATCTTTATGCCAGCCTTTTCTGTTATCCTATTTCTCCTGAGTCATCTGCTGATAATTATCTCCAGTTATTCAGTCCTACCTTGTAGGTTTTATTTTCTAGATTTGTTGTTCTTCTCAGTGCTCTTATCTAATAACAGTCTCTCCTGTTAGTTAACGCCTTGCTGGAAGGTATGTGCTCAGCACCGCACCTCATATTTAAGCTGAAGCCTTACCAGTGCCTAGTACCTCGTCATAAGGCTGATCTATGGTTCTCGCAATCTCTGCCGTAGGACCTCTTTTACCGTAGATGCCAATGTCTGCTTTCAACATTTAATTAAAAGCAAAGGGGGATGAACTGACGCAAACAGAGGCCAAACATTCAGCAGGCCTAAATTGGTACAGCTTCATAGCATCTATAAACAATAATGATTTACATCATTACCTGAGCATGGCAAACCTACCAGGTTTACAAATACCCTGGCATTAAAACATCCAGGCCTCCCGATCAGTTACACTGCAAGCGCTACTTCCGCCAACTGAAGATTGGAACTATACCATCTCCCTTGGATTTGTCTCTGTAAGTCTAAACCTGCTTCACTGCGGTGATGGATATAAAACCCTAGTTTATGAATGATTCATGCTTGCATAATTAATACTAATTGTTTAACATTGTTTAAATGTTACATGAAGGATTAAAGTCATGTTATATGCAGCCAAATACTGCTTCATTTTTAGCTTTGTAGATACTAGTGTTTAAAACAATGATTAAAAGATTTTCAGTGAAGATTTCAGTTATATTAAAATGTATCATCAGTAGTACACTATATTCAAAGTGTCATCAACTCTGATCAACTGCAAAAGTAGAAAAAATGTTACACTGATTTGAGGCGTCAGAAAATGATCATACATTAAGTTATCCCAAATAATGATGTAATTCAGATTTACAGGTTACATAATTGATTTCACAGGTATAACAATTGAAATATAACTAACAGCACCTCAGTAGGTAATAGTAATTAGCAGTGTTTTCTGTGGCAAAAAGGTTTTAACAATCAAATGTGGCCAGCACCTTAGCTTTCCCATTCTTACCATCCTTTGCTGGACTCTTATTCTGTGCCCCCATTTTCAGATTTGCTGATCTTTTTTTTGGTTGGAGTTGACTGTGGGGGAAGAGTATATATTTCTCTCATAGATTAAAATCTTTAGTTGATAAATCATATTATTCCATTTTAAATTGTTCTCATTTTCTGCAACTTGGCCTTCAGACTTGCTGCTGCATGTTTTTATCTACACTTTGGTCATATGTTCATTTCATTCATTGTACAGCAGAAATGGCGTATTATATTCATAGAATTAAAAGATTTAACAGTTTATGAGTTGACTACTATGATCTTATTTATGACAGTGCAACTTTGTTGCAGGCTCAGTTGAAGCCTTGCAGACTAGAATGAATCAAGGAATCATTACTCTTATTATACCATGTTGGACTAAAATCAGGCAACTCCTTTTAAAATTATTATTATTTAACATTTGTATTGCAGTAGTTTCAAGAAGTAGAACTGCAGTGTTTTAAGCATTATACTGTCTAGGCATATTGATAAATCCCCTACCTTTGCATGGTGATGAGAAAAGACAACTTGGATAGGTAGTTATTCACAATGGGGATTAAAGGGCTTAAAATCTCGTCCCTGTCTGAAAGCTGACAGGGTGGATCATTCCATTTCATCCAAACAAGCTGATAGAAAATTGCATTGATTACTATAACTACCACATCTAAAAAGCAGTCTCTCCTACTACTAGACTCAAAGTCCTTCAATAGGATTACTGTTCTAATCATTGTCACTATATTTGCTATAGGCACTGGCTTTGTTAATAATACATAATGCGAGAACGCCACCACTGCGACTTTCAGTGTTTAGTGCTTACTAGTCTCCATGTAGCTTCCGAAGCTCACACCTCACTGTGGTCAGTGGTTGGAAAAAAGACCAGCAAAATAGATTTTCTTTCTGTGGAAGGAGTTTCTGTGCTTTGAATAGAGACAGCTTTCTTCAAGACTGGCTTGTCAGAACACAGCTCATGACTTGCGTTATATTGACAGTGTTTTAGTGAATGAGAGACTGACAAACTGTTTTGCAGTGCAAGCATGAACTATATAGAATACTGTGGAACGTACACAATATAAGGAGACACCTTCCAGGCTCCAAGGGCTTGGATTTTTTTATTGCTTTCAATATTCTCTCTAATTTTAATGCTAAAGCAGTGTTTTATTTAGGGAAGTGGTTGTTTCCTTCTGCCTTGTACAAATCATGCAGCAATAGCCTGAGACCAACAACATTTGTGCTTATCAGGTGAGGTACAGACAAGGCAGACTGTGGTGTCACAGAGGCTAGAAGTTTTGTTAGGGGCTAAGCTAGTAGTCTGAAAAGTTCAGCCTGCGAAACCAATTGTGTGGTAGGCATACCAAGAGGTAATGGGCAAGAAAGATCAGGTTAGACCTTAGGTAAAGGAAGTGATGATGGATACGTTTTCTTAGGGACATTGTGGAAGCTCCATCACTGGCTTTAGAAAAGCCCAACAGTTAGCCATCATTAAGGCTAAAAGTGAAGTCTCTTTGCAGATTTGACTCTTCGCTGAGGGTGCACCAGATGACCTCTCCCAGCCTTGTCCAGTTCTGCCTTCTGGGTAAGCCCTGGTACAGAATCCACTCACTTGGGTGGCACTATCCAGGGATGTCCACTGCTCCTATCTGTGTGTGCCTCCCTTTGTTAGGAATGGGGCTTTAACTACTTGCTAGTCCTGATACTCAGCAATACCTTGCCAATCTCGTGATTATTAAAATTCCAGAGAAAGAAATGTCTTTCAAATGCACTTAGAGATAGATTACAAAACAAGTATTAGATTTTGTCAAGTTCAGCTGTTCTTGAATGATCTGTGTTTAAAACGTGTGAGGAGATAGTTTACTCTGCAGAGAACGATGAATTTTTGCAACTTATGTCTTTTAAAAACAAGCAGAGAACAGGAAGAAAAAAGAGTTTTCTTTAGCTTGTCATTAGCAGTAGTTAGCCTTCTGCTAAGATCACATACGGAAAATTCCAAATCCAAAGGGAAGAAAAAATCTAGAAGGGTATGAACTAGTGAAAAGGGAGATAAAAGATGAAACCAGCCTTTCAAGTAAATGTCATAACATAAAACACAGTAACATATCCTTCTTCTTTCTGCTATTGTTCCTATACTCTATAATAAAGTCCTTTCCAAATCCAAAGGGAAGAAAAAATCTTCCCTTTCATACTAGGGTATGAACTAGTGAAAAGGGAGATAAAAGATGAAACCAGCCTTTCAAGTAAATGTCATAACATAAAACACAGTAACATATCCTTCTTCTTTCTGCTATTGTTCCTATACTCTATAATAAAGTCCTATTGACCTAAACTGTG